AAATTCATCATTCTCATGAAAAGAAACATAAACCTCCAAAACAGCCCTATACACATTTTGAGGGATCGCAAATTCCTTAAATTGCGAATCAGTGGAATTCTCAATTTCAAACCACAAACCATCATTCAATGGCAAATTTCTTGAAATGGGCAAGATCAAATCAGCTTTAGAAGCATGTGTATCTACCAAATTACTCAAGCCATACTCACTATGACTAAATTTCTCTTCAGCAGGATAAAAATAAATAGTTATATTCACATGGTAAACGCCAGTGTAAGTTCTATCAACAAGATTACCAAGATAAACAGCAAATTCTTGAGTCTCGTTCTTAATAAGCGAAGAATAATACCTCGTTATATCCTTTTGAACAGACCAAAAAATCCCGGTTGCTCTTGGCTCAGCTGTGCAGCTCCTAAGAAGCTCCACACCACCTAACCAAACCCCAAAAATGCGATCAAATTGTCTTCCTTTACAAGTCGAATTCCATTCAAGAACAATTTTGGAGAAATGTTTAGATGGGCAGTGAGAAGGAGGGGTATAATTTGCAAGAACTGGAGGTTTTCCATAAGTGTAACCAAAATCATGTTGCAGGACAGTATGTACACAAGGTTTGACCTTGTTTGGAACTTCAATGGGCTTGGTTACTTCAAAATAAACAGTTGGTGGGGTGTCATTGAAGGATTTGGAAGTATTTGCACAGGTGGGTTCGGCAAGGAGGTTTGCTTTGAGGAGGTTGCTGGCTTTGTGAATGTTAGCCGTAGAAAGGTCAGGATAGTGGAGGAAGAGGAGAGAAAGGAGCAGAGGAAAGAGAGAGGTAGCCATGAATGGTTGTTGCTGCTGCTGCTTTAGTTTGTACTGTGTTTTTAACTTCTTATTAAAAGAGAGACCAAATGTTGGAGTGAAAGACAATGTATAATTTTGGTCTCTTGGTGAAAACAATGATTTGCTCTCTGTTTTATTATTATTTTTCTTGAAGATTAAAATATGATTGGAAAGCAATTATGCGTTTTCTTTTTTCTTTTTTTTTTTCTTTTTAAGGTGATTTGAAAATTAAATGTCTTTGAAAATCATTACTTTTTCTTAAATAGAAGATGCAATTCTCACCAAATTATATGGTTAATAATAAATAAAATATAAAATTTTCTAAATTATGAATTATCTCTTTTATTTCAGTTTGAAAAATGATATTATCCATTAAAAAAGCAAAAAGACACAATCATCTTAACAATGAAATTGACAATATTGAGGGGTGAGGAGGTTGAATTGTAAATGAACATAATTATTAAAATTAGAGAAATTTGAGATGGTTTTGTGAATATAATTTGGTGGTATTAACCCAAAAGAATAAAAGATTGAAAGGGTAAAGCTTTTAATCCCTCATTCCCTTAGATTTAATACTTCTTAAATTTTATTTTTCATTTCAATTATTAATTTAAAGAATCAATGAAGTATTATTTTTTTTTATTTTACCATTATTTTTTCATATCCTTATCAAATAAGCAATAATTATTTAAATAATTTAATTAATTACTCTTTTCTTTTTTAAATTGAAATGAAAATTTTTAATTTTTATGTAAATCAAAAACTACTAAATTTAATGGAACTAGAGAGTAACATTAAAATTAGGGAAGGAATGATTAAAGTTAAAGGGAAAACTAATAAAAAATGTATTAAGGACAGCATCAAACAAATTGTTGTCTTAAGATAGTGGTAACAGGTCAGAGTAAGATTAGATTGGATAGAAATAGGTGCCTGGATTTTGCATCTCACCAATGTAAAATCTCCTTCTCTAATAAAATTTTGATAACATTATTATTTGATTTTTATAGTTTATCAAAATATACAACTTTATTCTTATACTAGTCTTAGTCTCGCACTTTGCATGCGTGTATTTATATATTATTTAGAAAAATATTGTTATTATCAAAAAAAGAAGAAAATGATTGAAAGTATTTTAGATAACATCTCAAATAATAATAATAATAATAATAATAACTCTCATTTTTACTCTGAAAATAATCGATTATTTAAGATTTTAAAATATGATATACATATTTTAAAATAATTACATATATATCATAATAAAATAAAAAAAGAGCCTGTATGGAGAGATAGATATAGAATACATATGTATAGATGTAGATAGATACGATTCAATTTTAAAAGGTTTAATTACTATCAATAGATATCAAATTTTAAATTTAAAAAAAAATGTTTTAAATGGTCTAATCAAATTGTAGAAAAATAAATTAAAATTCTAAAAATAATAGAATTTTGAAAGGAGAGAACGCCTCGAAATATATAAAATAAAATTAAAATTCTAAAAATTAAACTAGGAATTTTGAAAGGAAGAGAACGCCTCGAATATAATATATATATATATATATATATATATTATATATTTTTTTTACCTCCATCACTATTATTCTGTTCTACTAATTATTTTGTAAGTTTTCAAATGAACATACTTCCTAATATTACTTTTGAAAATTATTATTTTTAACAACCCTCTAAAGCTTAAATCAAGAATAAAATAACATTGGAAGAGATGAAATGCCTAATAGTTTAAGGCTTAATCGTTGTAGTTTGTTTATCTATCTAATTTATTTATTTATTAATATAGTATTCGAAAATTAGTTCAATGAAAAGCATTTCAAAAATATTTTCAATTCTATGCTTTGCATAATCACTTAATGAAATAGAGTAGATATGAACAGTTTTTTTTTACCTCCATCACTATTATATCTTTCTACTAATATTTTGTAAGTTTTCAATGAATACTTCTAATATTACTTTTGAAAAAATTATTATTTTTAACAACCCTCTAAAGCTTAAATCAAGAATAAAATAACATTGGAAGAGATGAAATGCTAATTAGTTTAAGGCTTAATCGTTGTAGTTGTTATCTATCTATTTTATTTATTTATTAATATAGTATTCCGAAATTATTTCATGAAAAGCATTTCAAAATATTTTCAATTCTATGCTTTGCATTAATCACTTAATTGAATAGAGTAGATATGAAAGCAAATATCTATATCTATATATATAAAAGCTGAAACAAAAATAAGGTTCAAAATGTTCTTTTCGTTCAGTATTCTATTTTTCCTTTTTTTAGAAAATTTTAAATTTATCAAGAGTTTGTGATAATACAATATTTCAGAAAGCAGGTTTCTAATTTACAATGCTTATAGTTTTTGCTTTCTTCTTTAATAAAAATGTCTGAAATTCCTAAAGAGGAACCTCCTTCATTATAAGGCAGAGACTTCTGAGAATGAATGCATTTTTCATATACTGTTATTTCAAGTTTGAACCGATGTGTGAAGAGTTTAGATTGAGATGGTTGAATTATTTGAGAGATATCAAGAGAAGCAATATTTCAAATGAAGAAGAAGACATAATTCTCAGACGCCATTAACGGGCATGAGTTCACTATAATTATTTATTTTTTAATTAATAATAATAAAAATTTTTAAAATTATCTATTTAATATACTATTTTATTTTTTAAGTTTTTGAAAATTTTTCAAAGATAACTAGGCCTTTAAATTTTATTAATTTTTTTTATAAATAAACATTTTTTTTTTTTGAAAAAAAGCTCAATATCTAATCGAAATCTTCAAAACAAATATAAAAAAATTCATAAAGAAAAGAACGCTTGAATATATATAGGTCATTAGGACTTTAAAAATTTTAAGTTTTTTTATTTCATTTAGCTATTATATTTAAAATAATTATATTTAGATAATTATTACTTTAAAATTTAAAAACAATCAAGATAATTGGGCTTTTTTAAAATTTTAAATTTTATGTACATATATTTATATATTAGAAAATAGGAAATCTAAAATTATTTTCTAAAATTATCCAATATACAGCACATAAAATTAATTCAAAAACTAACTCCCATAATAAATATAAATTTATATTTTAATGCTCTAAAATATTTTTATGAAAAGTGAAATGTGGTAGCTATATTAAAAATTAATATTTATTTGAAAATATTATATGTTTCTATATTATCTATATTTGTATCTTATTTGAACTTTTTATTTTTTCTTTTCTATTTTAGGATTAGATTATTTATCTATATCTATCCACGCGCGAAGCGCGGAACAATGACTAGTTAACATATATGACTCAAACTAATTTGAAATAACTTAATGCATGAACTCTTAAAATTTATGCGATTTGTCTTGTGAGACCTTTAAATCAAATTTGCAAGAAACCTATCATGACCCTACATTTTCACATTTCAGTAATAATTATATCTCTTGCCAAAATGAAATAACTATAGTCATTACCAAAATGAAATAACTTTGCAAGAGTTCAATTATAATGTAATGAACATAATTATTATAGAAATGTGAAAATTTACAGTTATGATAAATTCTCGCAAACCTGAAGGTACTAATAAGACTAATTGTATAAACTTCAAAGGCAAATATATGCATTTCATCAATTTGGAATTTAGGATGTTATTGTTGTTGTATTAGATATGTTTGATACACAATAAATTTTCATTTAAGTTGTTAATTGGTTATAGGAATTCATTTATGTGATTAATTGGTTACTAAAAGAAATGCCAATTAGAAACGGATTTTTCCATTTCCAAGGCCAAAGATCCATTACTAATTCGGTCTATTTGGTGCGTTTCTAATTAATTGTTATAAAGATTAATTATAACTATGGGAGATAGTTAGCTTAAAAAAGTTCAAGAGAAAAGAGAAGTACCAATCAAAATATCATATTAAACCGCTATTCACGTGCAAAATGATATGATCTTCTTCTTGCCTGTTTGACAATACTAAATATAAATGTTTACTCCGTTATAGACATTTATATTATGTTGTTATAATCATATAAATCTTATCACCTATAAATTTCTCTTAAATATAAATGTTGATTTTCTTCTTTTCTGTATAATAACATTAAAATATTTTTCAAAAAAAAAAACATTAAATATAGTAAAATATTGTTTACATCTGAAATAGTAGAGTTTCAAAGAAGCTTGAACATATCGATAAATTATACTAAAAAGGTTTCAAGAGAAAAGAAAAGCACCTGTATTTATATGCAAAATCATCCGATTTTCTTCTTACTTGTTTGACAGTATCAAATGTAAATGGAGAAGTCACTGGAAACATAGAATAAACGGCATTATTAAAAAAAAGAAAGAAAAAATCTAACTGATCTAAATAATATGATAAGCATAAATCGGGAAAAACATGAAAAATTACATGGTTTTATAGGAAAAACATCGTTCTATAACAGTGATTTTGCATTTTATTTTAGTATATATATATAATAATAATTATAATCGGTTGCTAAATATCAATTTCTACCGTGTTGAGGCGCCCACTATTTTTCTGTCCCTTTGTAATATCCGTTTCCCCATTACCATTGTAATCAATTAGAAATAGGCAAAAAGGGTTTTGCTAGCAAAGAAAAGTAGGCCAGATTGCCAGAAAGTGGCCTTAAATTGATAGAATGAAATATCACGTGCTATAATTAGTATTTTTCCTTATTTAAATTCCAAATTTACATCCTAAAATACATTATAAGAAATTAAATTTAGAAATTTCGAATCAAATTTCAATGGAATTTATATATTTAGAATAAAATGAAATGAAAATTTAAATTTTAAAATATTTCAGAATGGAATTGGAATAAGCATCGTGGCATGCTATGCCCACCTCACTTCTTATCGCAATTATTTCTCACTTTGTCATAAAGCACGGTGTAGTTTGAACTGCTAACGTCCCTAAAGTAGCAGAAATTATCATCATCATATTTGTAAGCCTGCTGTGTACTTCCCATTCCACCGACCACCGAGTTTTCTTTTAAAACCATAAAACCCTGTGAATCCTGCAGATTTTTCAGAGAGCTTGCCCCAAATCCAAATCCAGAATCTTTTACTTTCTCGCTGAATCCTAATGTGATGTTTGTCGCAATTAACGAAGTGTCGTTTCCTTCATCAACTAAGTCCGAGTACAGGTCAATAAGGAAGGATTTTGATGATTTGAATGAATGAACAGAAGAACTAACCTTTCTGAAAGAAACAGTGTCACTATAATCAATTATCTGATTCACAATCTGCGAATTCCCATTATCACCAATTTCCATGGAGTTTCTGTAACTGAAGAGCTGATTGAAATGGGTGGTAATCTTCCCCAAGGAAGACTGTACCCATCCACTTGTGGATATGGACCTTCTTGCAGTTGTCAAGACTGTTCCATTCAAATCCTGGAAATTTGATGCTAAAGAAAAAACTAGAGGTTTACTTTTATGTTTCAAAACCTTCCCTTTTGTTTTTGTGCTTTTATGGTCCAACCAAAGATGCAAATTTGCATCTGTGTACCAAACATTCAAAGCATTTGTGACACTAAAACTCAGCTCATGGGTCTTTCCATCTAATATACTCCCTAAAAATGATGTAATTTCAATATCATAAGAAGGAAGATTGTATGAACCAATACCAGTAATGGGTCTCCAGAGGAGAGGATTGATCCCACCTGTATAAATCACAGTAAAAGGCCAAATTGCACCTACAACCTCTCCATCAAGACTAACAACAACTTCTCTAAAAGGACCATTTCCGGGGTAATCAGTAAGATTATTTGCAACAATATACTCATCAGGATAATTTGAATACCAAAATTCATCATTCTCATGAAAAGAAACATAAACCTCCAGAACAGCCCTATACACATTTTGAGGGATCACGAATTCCTTAAATTGGGTATCAGTGGAATTCTCAATTTTAAACCACAACCCATCATTCAATGGCAAATTTCTTGAAATGGGTAAGATCAAATCAGCTTTTGAAGCATGTGTATCTACCACATCGCTCAAACCATACTCGTTATGACTAAATTTCTCTTCAGCAGGATAAAAATGAATAGTTATATTCACATGGTAAACCCCAGTGTAAGTACTATCAACAATATTACCAATATAAACAGCAAATTCTTGAGTCTCATTCTTAATAAGCAAAGAATGATACCTTGTTATATCCTTTTGAACAGACCAAAAAATCCCAGTTTTTCTTGGCTCAGCTGTGCAGCTCCTAAAAAGCTCCACACCACCTAACCAAACCCCAAAAATGCGATCATATTGTCTTCCTTTACATGTCGAACCCCATTCGAGAACAATTTTGGAGAAACGTTCAGATGGGCAATGAGAAGGAGGGGTATAATTTGCAAGGACTGGAGGTTTCCCATAAGTAGAACCAAAATCATGTTGGAGGACAGTATGTACACAAGGTTTGACCTTATTTGGGACTTCAATGGGTTTTGTTACTTCAAAGTAAACCGCTGGAGGGGTGTCATTGTAGAATTTGGAATTGGAAGCATGTGGAGAGGTGGGTTCGGCAAGGAGTTGGGATTTGAAGAGGTTTTTGGCTTTGTGAATGTTGGCTGTGGAGAGAACAGGATAGTGGAGGTAGAGGAGGGAGAGGAGCAGAAGAAAGAGAGAGGTAGCCATGAATGTTGGTGGTGGTTGTTGCTGCTGCTACTTCTTTAGTTGGTATCGTGTTTTCAAATTAATTGAAATTCTCAAAAAAAGAAACCTTATTGAGAACAAATGTTGGACTTTAAGAGTAAAACACAAGGAATAATTTTCGTATCTTGAGGTGAAATTTTGATGTCTTTCTTCTTTTTATTTTATTATTTCTTTATAAGATTTAGAAAGATTGGAAAGTAATTATTTGTTTTCTTTTTTTTATTGATTAAATAGGAAATAAACAACTCATACACCAATCTCATACCCCAACTTATTTTGAAAAAAAAAACAAAAGAGCCATCTTAACTGTGCACGCTTCTCTTGATGATTGTCTCATACCACAACTCAACTTCTGTAAAATATTACTGTTACTGAGTGAAAGGCTTGAAAATATTTCAGGAAAAAGGAAAAAAAAAAAAAAAAAAAATTGAAAAAAAAAAACAAAAGAGCCATCTTAACTGTGCACGCTTCTTCTTGATGATTGTCTCATACCGACAACTCACTTCTGTAAAATATTACTGTTTACTGAGTGAAGAGCTTGAAAATAATTTCAGGAAAAAGGAGAAAAAAAAAAAAAAAAAAAAGAAAAAAAAAAAAAAAAAAAAAGGAGAGAGGTTGAATTGGAAATTAATATAATTAGTTAAAATTACAGAAATACGAGTAGGCTTTGAAAATCAAGTACAAATCCTTTAATAGATTTGATTAACTATTTTGGATATTCATTTAATGTTTCTTGTCAAAAATAGGTCAACCAAAATCATTATTTAGTCAGCTCATACATAAATTTACCAATGCACTTTTCATAAAAAATCTTGCAGCAATTTTAATTTTTACTTTGATCATTGGACATTTCAACTTAATTCAGTGTCGGTTTGATTTGGTTTGAAGCAATAATTCAATCAAACTTAAATCGGCAGTTTGAAAAAAAAGTTAAAATCAAATCAAATCATCAAAATTTTCAAATCAAACAAAATCGAAAGTGACAACTTAGTTTAGTTTGACAATTTAGCTGGTTTGAAAAAAAAAAAAAAAAAAAAAAAAAAAAAAAAAAAAGAAAACTTCGCCATTCATCTAATAACAAAAAAAAAAAAAAAAAAAAAACTTCGCCATTCATCTAATTAACAAGAAAAAAAAAAAGGATTAACGATGTTAATTAAGTAATTTATAAATATGGAACTTAAATATTGATTTATTTCTATATTTATTACTAAAAAAATTTATAAAAAACTAAAATTTTGCTCAAAGTATAATTTGCACATAATATATAATCATATATTTTTTCATGAATCTTTAATGATTTAAACTTTTATAAAATAATTATATAATTTACTTAATTAATATGAAATTATGGTTTAATTATTATCCAATATAAAATAATCCTGTAATTTATTGTCTAATATAAACTAATCAATGCAAAAGAAATTTTGATTCAAAATTGAATTGAATTATTTATCATTTAAAAGTTCAAACCGAATTAAAAGCTTAGTTTTTTAATTCTACAAACCAAACTAGACCCTCAACTTTTTAAAACTGTTGTTTTAGATCGAATTAGATGGTTTAAAAAATTTGATGAATACACCTATTTCAACTTACAAAAATATACCTTCTAAACACTTTAATTGATCAATAGACACCTCAACTTATAAAATTAAATTAATTAAATACTTATTAGTTTCACGACCCGTTTCGATAGGTTGAATCGGCACTAGGACCCGGGTAGACTTAAGGCAACCGAGACTCGTAGCAAGCCTAGAACATTGTTTATCGATCAATATACCCAATAGATATATCTCAAGAAGTCAAGCCCAATGAAAATATTTCAATTAGACTGTTCAATATAATGATAACAATCCAATATCTATATATAACAAGTGATTTAATAATCGTACAGCTGCGAAGTTCAAATGAAATCTAAGATAGAATTTGTTCTCATACAACTACCAACATAATCAAAATAATTATTGAAAATAAAGATTACATTTCTTACTCTGTGGTGAAAGAATAGAGCTTTTGTAGGAGTGGAGAGAATCTACTTCCTGAAAAATTTAAATAAAAATTGAATGAGTATTTCAACTTAGTGAATAATAACAAATAGCATATGACCCAAACATTCACACGAGATGAATCCTAAAGCAACTAAGTGAACACTCGATCAGTCACACATATGGCACCACAATAACAACTACAAACAATAGCACCTTCACATAATCAAATAAGTGGAAATTGATCTATGGTGTCACCATAAATCTCAACGAACCGCCCTCACACATGACTCGCCCTCTCATAACGTATACACCAGAGAGCCGATCCGCCATACATAGCCGACCGGTCTCAACCTCACCTGACCAACCCTCTTATTGTTTTTCCATATTCTCTTTTCTATTTCTGTTACCAACAGGAGGCCACCCTGTGATTTTCTATATAATCCATATCATCAAATGCATACAAGGGCGCCGATCTCCCCATACATGGCCAACGGTATTGAGCATACATGGCCAACGGTATTGAAGACCACCTTTACAAACCCATTGGTAACCCACATCATCCTAATTCCACACAAACAAAGCATAACAATATCATCACACAAATAATCATACAAACATTATTGAATACAAACCCATTGGTAACTCACATCATTCTAATTCCACACAAACAAAGCATAACAATATCATCACACAAATAATCATACAATTTATTCAACACAATGCATCAAATTACCAATTAATATGCAAACATAAAGATATAATTATGATATAAATATATAAATATAATGATATATTAATAATAATATAATAATAAAAAAATGATTACTAACTTAACATTTATAAGTACTAACTTAACATTTATAAGCTTCTTATATGATAACTAATGTATGCATGCTTATAATGGTATGCACTATTTATTATTATTCACAATGATAGAGGAAAAAAAGAACCGCTAGTTAGGATTTTTGACTTGGAGGAGCAGTAGACGAACCAGACGATTTAAAGAATTTAAGAATGCAAAGGAGGGAACTGAATTAAACAAATGACCAATTTAAATAAAGAATTAAAGAATTAATCTAACAAATTTATCTACCTCCATATATATATGAACGTGATTATTGAATGTTGATATTGATATTAAAGGAGGATGGATACTTGATTTGGTTAATTGCCCGATAGATAGGCTGTGTGGATTGAATGAATTTAAATGAAATCACTGATATTTAAACAGGTAGATAGTCCAATTTTTAGAGGAGATGTTGCCGAAATTTCGTAGAATTTAGTCTAGTTTTAGCCATTAGACATGTAGATAAATTTGTTAGATTAATTCTTTAATTCTTTATTTAAATTGGCCATTTGTCTGATTCAGTTCCTTCCTTTGCATTCTTAATATATATATAAGGATTGATAAATCATATTATTTAGAATATAAAGTAAATTTATGTAAAGTAATTGCGATTATTGAATGTTGATATTGATATTAAAGGAGGATGGGTACTTGATTTGGTTAATTGCCCGATGGATGGGCTGTGTGGATTGAATGAATTTAAATGAAATCACTGATATTTAAACAGGTTGATAGTCCAATTTTTAGAGGAGTTGTTGCTGAAATTTCGTAGAATTTAGTCTAGTTATAGCCATTGGAGGTAGATAAATTTGTTAGATTAATTCTTTAATTCTTTATTTAAATTGGTCATTTGTTTAATTCAGTTCCCTCCTTTGCATTCTTAAATTCTTTAAATCGTCTGGTTCGTCTACTGCTCCTCCAAGTCAAAAATCCTAACTAGCGGTTCTTTTTTTCCTCTATCATTGTGAATAATAATAAATAGTGCATACCATTATAAGCATGCATACATTAGTTATCATATAAGAAGCTTATAAATGTTAAGTTAGTAATCATTTTTTTATTATTATATTATTATTAATATATCATTATATTTATATATTTATATCATAATTATATCACTATATTTATATATTTATATCATAATTATATCTTTATGTTTGCATATATTAATTGGCAATTTGATGCGTTGTGTTTAATAAATTGTATGATTAAGAATGCAATCAGACAAATGACCAATTTAAATAAAGAATTAAAGAATTAATCTAACAAATTTATCTACATGACTAATGGCTATAACTAGACTAAATTCTACGAAATTTCGACAACATCTCCTCTAAAAATTGGACTATCTACCTATTTAAATATCAGTGATTTCATTTAAATTCATTCAATCCACATAACTCATCCATCGGGCAATTAATCAAATCAAGTACCCATCCTCCTTTAATATCAATATCAACATTCAATAATCACAATTACTTTACATAAATTTACTTTATATTCTAAATAATATGATTTATTATATATATATATCTATTTACACACACACGCACACACACATTTATAAGCATATATGTATACATTAAGAAACAATTTAAACTTGATACTATACATTTAAAACTTTAAACTTAGCCGCTTCGTACATAACTTTATACATGTCTTTCTTTTTTCTAAATCAACATAAGAAACAATTTTCTAATCAAAACTCATAGCCTACATGCTAACAAAATTCGTCATTTGACAAATAGGTCCTATATTGCATCAATTCTCCTCTCGTCATTCTCAAAGCTCAAGCTATAGAATAATATGGAAACAATTATAATAACAAAACACAAGTTTATCCACATTTTCCGTAATTAGCTTGTCTATTTTCTATCAAAAGTTTAATATACCACACCATTTCCTATTCATTAAGCAAACTTAAACACAAAGGGCTAAGCTAGCTGCCGCCATAACAAAATAATTTTTATTTTATTCCATCTTGATCAGTAGAACTTTTATAATAACAACAATTATGACAAAAAAAAAAAAAAAAAAAAAACATTCTCTCCTATTCATTAAGCAAACTTAAACACAAGGGCTAAGCTCGATATGCTGCCCGGTGCCATATACAAAAATTTATATTATATTTTTAGTTTTATTCCCATTCTTGATACAGTAAAATTTATTTTTATAAGATAAACAACAATTTTATGCACAAAAAAAAAGGAAAAAACAAAAAAAAACATATTACTACACCGAATACGAACTTAATGTAGAGCCAATAAACCAAGGGATCTTTTTCTATTGTCTTAGACGGCTTTTGCATCATATTCAAAGAAACTTAAGTTCTTGATTAACACTCGCAAACATTGATTGCAGTAGTTAACCTATTCACTTTCCCATCAGAACTTAATTTGTAGCTAGAATGCTGTCAAGCTTAAATAAATCAAGTTTTATGATTATGAACCCATACACACGTCCCATTACTTTTCCAACAAACTTGATTCACAATATCATATTTTTATCCATAAATCTTATAATTCAAAAAATATAATCAATTAAATTGCGTTGCTAGTCAACTAACATAGAATTCAGAAAGATGTCTATTAGTTTAAATCATACTATATATAATAGTTAAATAATTTTCGTTTAGCTAAACAAGAAATTTGATTTCCTTCCATACCTTATAATTTATCTATCAGAGCATTAGTTTAAAAAAAAAAAAAAAAAAAAAACATATTACTACTACCGAATACGAACTTAATGTAAGCAAAAACCAAGATCTTTTCTAGCTAGAGGCTGCCATCATATCAAAGAAACCTTAAGTTCTTGATTAAACTCGCACATGATATGGTAGTTAACCTATTTCCCATCGAGAACTTAATTTGTAGCTAGATGCTGTCAAGCTAAATAAATCAAAAGTTTTATGATTAGAACCCATACACACGTCCATTAACTCCTTTCCCAACAAAACTTGATTCACAATATCATATTTTTATACCATAAGCTATAATTCAAATAATCAATTAAAATGGTGCTGCCAACCTAAAAAGAATCAAGATTTTTAGTTTAAATCCATACTATATATAATAGTTAATTCGTTTACTAACAAAAATTTGATTTCCCATACCTTATATATCATATCAGAGCATTAGTTCAAGTGAATAGCTAAAATGGCTGCATCCACTGTGAAAATTCCTTAACTTCATAATCAAAATTTGTAATGTACCATATAATCTAACAATTTTTACAGAAAATCTCAGTTTATACTTCAATTAAATCAAAAGAGACCGTTTATCGCAAAGAAAAAGGCTGGAAATAGCTTACCTAGCTGCAAAATAAGCCGGGAATCAAAATTTTTCGGGTAAAATGACCGGCAGTTGCAACTAAATTCGAATATCCCTACTGCCGCCTGCTAACTTGACCGGAAAAGGATGGGAAGGTATCCAGAGATACGCTGGAGGTGAGGAGGGAGTGTAGTTGGCCGGTCCCTAGCCGGTCTCACCAAAAAAGGACAAGAAAAAGAAAAGTGGCGCTGTCCCGATCGAAGAGCAATATCGCAGCTCCTTATGATTTGCTGCGCCAGGCGGTGAATGACGATGGAGAAGGAGAGAGCGGAGCTACGCCATCGACGAGAAAGGGTTGAAGTCTACCGGTCGTTGTTGGAGTCGCCGGAGATGAGAGAGAAGTGCTGCTGCGACTATCAGGAAGAAAAGAGATGGCAGCAGCTCTCTCTCTTGTTTGCAACGCCAAAACAGGCCGGAACCGGAAGGAGTGGTGACCAGAGAGGCGATGGTGGCGTGAAGAAAGTCTAGTTTTCCAAGATCGAGCTCAGGTGACCCGAAAGAGCAGATGGAGCTTGAATCGGAAAATACCTCAGCCCCGTTTTTCCTCTCTTTTCTGCGTTAAAACCGATTGGAAATAGGAAGGGGGAGTCGCCGGAGTAGTGCTGGTGAGGAGGAGGTGGAGTCGGCCAGTTGTAGGCTTTGGTGGCCGGAAAATCGACGGAGAGGGAGGGTAGAAAGGCTGTCGCAGAAACGGGGGGAGAGAGAAGAGAGGGTGGGACTGTTTGGGAATTTCTCACTTTCTAGAGCTTTCTAATTGGCCAATATCGGTTTGGGTTTGATTAGGATCCGATTTGGCCCAATTCATGGATTTTGCTTGATTTTATCATGGTTTGGGGATTCCCAATGGGTTTAAATTAGTTTTGAGGTTTGGATTTTCAAATGTGAAATGTATTTAGCTTAAATTTTATTAATATAATTATTTATTTTAAATATAATAATGTTGTATAATATCATTGGTTTAAAATTAATATTTAAACTTTTAAATAAAATAGTTTTAAAAATAAAAATTTAAGTTGTTCCGATTAGATAGTTAAAAGATATGAAAATTATCATTTTAAAAATTATATTAACAACATATTAAATTAATATTTTAAATATAAAAAATTAAAAATCTTAAAAATTATTATTACTATATAAAAAAGCGGCAAATTATACAAAAAAATTAAATTTAGGATACCACAAGCTGAAAGTGCTATCGATTTTTTTTTTGTCGTCAGAATTCAAAAGTTAAATAATATATTCGTCTTACTTAGTCCAAAAGTTTGAACTTGTTGAATATATTAGTTACCCCATTTAATAAGTACAATTTTCCCTTCTTTTAACTGCATGGTGACCTTTCAATATAATAAAAAAGATGGAAAAATAATAATTAGTTTTTAGAGACCTTGAAGTTAGTTTTTAGAAACAGGATTCTGAAGTGTTATATACAACTTACCTAAAAATCAATTTTTTTTGTACATTTATCTTCTGAACTTGCACCAAAAGAATAAAACATCCAATTTTTATCATAAAATAAATATTTAATTTAAATTAAATGCAATTTACAAAATTAAATACTTAATTTAAATCAAATATAGTTAAAAATAATTAAGCAAAAAATAATAAATATTTTTCATCCCAAATGCTCAAAATAATCATATAGTTTTTAATTCTATAATTCTAAAATCAAATATTTCCTTTAATAATGTTTTAAATCAAAGACAAGACATTTTAATTTTTATAATTATTTTTGTATTTTTTAAATAATTTTCATTCCTAATTTTAAAAGTTTTTAAATAACTTGTACTAGTTAAAAATATTTTTAAAATTATTTTTTAAAAAACAAGCTTTTTTTTTCTTTTGGTGTAAATTTAAAAGATAAATTATATAAAAAGTTAATTTTTGGCAAATTGCATATTTCTCACCAATTCAAAAAGCAAATTGAGCTTTATTCCAAAAAGAAAAACAGAGCATTAATTATATTATAACTACTTGATAGAAATCCAAATTTTTGATCATTTCTTGAATTAACCAATCTGTAGCGACGGAAAAGAATTTATAATGAATCAATATACTTATATTGTTAAAACAATATACAAAATTTATTGTTAAAATATAAAATATATTTTAGATATTTATATATAGTAGATTAAGAAAAATCAATAAGATTGAATATATGATAATGTGAGTAATTGGTGATCTAATGGTTGTGTGGCATTATTAGTGCCACATCATAACTGATATGTTTGCCTGTAAATCCCAGATCTAGGCAAATAAACATTCAAGCATTAATAGAGTACAATATATTTTCTCTCTAATTTCTGCCTTCTCTCTCTTGTTCTTCCCCAATTTCTTCTTCTCTCTCAATCCAAATGGCTCTGTGAACCCTAATCTTCATTCTCGTTAGTATGGGCGTGCAAAACCACCCACCGAACTGAAAATTGAGCCAGTTCCATTTTCAATCCGATTCGGTCAACTAGTCAAGGGAGGTTCAATTTATCAATTTATTCGATTTGAACTAAATTTATTATTTGATTCAAAATAATTTTATAAAAATTCATCGGTTGGACTTAAAATGGAACCAATATGACAAAAACTAATCAATAGACTGGTTCAATTGAATCAATTCGGTTCAATACCAATTTCGGTTTGATTCAATCTGTCGTCCAAAAACATCAGTTTGTTTTTTTTTTTTTTTTTTTTTTTTTTTTTTTTTTTTTTTTTTTTTTTTTTTTTGGCCTTGTTTCAATTGATTTGAACCAAACCCGACCGTTTGCTTCCACTCCGCCTAACATATAAGCTGTTTATTAAACGGATGAAATGGTTTGTTATAAAAAATTAATAATAATATTTTTTTTTTTTTTTTTTTTTTTTTTGCCTTGTTTCAATTTGATTTGAACCAAACCGACCGTTTGCTCCACTCACCCTAACATATAAAGCTGTATTATTAACGGATGAATGGTTTGTTATAAAAAAATTAATAATATATATTAGTTAAATAATTATAATCATCAAATAAACGGTCCGGAATAATTGAATTTACATGTATTAAACGGTTCAACCACTGATTCAACCAGTTCATTTTGGAGTTCTTCCTTTGACGATTCAAAAGCAAAATCTGCCAAGAGTGGAGTCCAATTCTCCAAGTTCAAGCATGAAAACACATATATAAACTGAAAACCAATAAATAATAAAGTGAATTTAATAATAGAGATATATGTGAATTCAAACATGGCGTCAATCTTCTATAGAAAATTTTCTCTCGTTTTTAGTCTCAGATAAATTTCATTATAATTATCAAACAAGAAAGTAATAGGCTGAACAGATTTTATCCGTACCCCTAAGCCTAAAGTACAAAGATAAACAAATGCCAATCAATCTCCCAATTTCAAACATTTAATTTCTCTGAACAAAAAGAACGAGAACATCATTAGATGTTAAAATGTTTGTATAACATTAGTTACTACCATAATGCAAATTTTCCCTTCCTCCCCGCCTTAAGCATGGGGAAATAGAAAATGTTATGATTACTGAGGTGTTGTGTACATTTCTAAATTACACTTGTTTACAATATTATACAGCAAACAAAAACAATATGTTGCTGAAGAAATGAAAGAATCAACAGTAAAGCTTCTTTTGGTAAGCTGTAAACAAATGTAATGCAAATGCATTTCTAGTGTAATGTCTTGCTGCATGGAACCTGAGGACAAAGATTACTCTTCTGGAAATTCAACTAAGAGAGCGATTTAGAACTGACAATTGTCCAGAATCTCCGTTCAACAAGAATACTTCTAGAGGAACATATGGCGAGTCTGCTGACGATCCGAACCTGTATGTCGGTTGAAGTAATTTACTACCCTTGGAACATTGAATTGTTAGAAGACGTGGTCCAGTTCTCATCTGCCAGACCTGCATGGATTGATCAATAAAAGGTAATGTGTGTTTTAATTTCATATAATGAGTACATGAGAATTCCATACTGCATGCAAAATCACCTTACGAATTATAATTTACGCATGCTGACAATCTTGCAAATAAAACTCTACTATCGAGAAGGAAGGAGAATTACAACTAAGAAAATGAAACATTCATTATCGACTCTTGACATTTTACGTATAAAATGTGTTGTAGGCTTGTACATTCCTCAAACTGATATATTCCTTCACCAAGTGTGTGCACAGGCTAGAAAACGAGACAATGTTATACAGCAACTCAGAAAAAATGAAAGCAAGGTCACTTCATCACTGTTGAAAGAATAGAGCAAAGTACAAATGCATAAACTGAAATGATTCCTTGCGAAATGGTTTCCATTTGCACTCTGCACAATGCATCTCCTCCATGGAGTCCCCATGCTGACAGCGTGCATGGGCACAGGTCTGATGCTCTTGCACATAGTCTGCGTATGCATGTGCACATCTGAGTGGCAATAGAGAGTTTACGAGAAGGCTGTATGTTCAAATTTGAGTATGATCCAATGCTATGGTCCCAAATAAAGGATTATTGTGTTTGTTTGATTTTCTGCCTGTTCTTCCCTATTTTGAAGAATCAAATAATAAGATCTTGTTGTAGAGAGAATTCTTCAATCTCATAAGCCTAGGACTCAACCTTTCAATTAAATGTGCTTGCATTTTTTTCGTTTAGTTCTCCTTTAAAATACAAGCAAGGAAAGAGAGAAAATAACTAAAACACAATAACTACCTACCACAACTTAGAGAAATTGCCTAGCCAGCTACCCCAACTAAGGGAAACTGCCTATGACATTTTGAAGAAAACTAATCCCATCTCTACAGGAAAACATAGAATCCTAAAAATTGAACAATAACAGAAATAAATTCTGTACTAGATTTTATAAATTACTTCAGACTAAGTTGGATGGTCCCCTGTGCTCCTTACATCCAACCTGTATGAAAATTGCACCAAGCCATTTCTTTTTACATCCACTTTTAATTATGGTACTGGAATACCAAACTCCTATGCAGATTGGTTTTCTGATTATTACAACAGTATATCAAAGTATATAAAGACAGAAAACGACCACTACAGCTGATTCTGTGCATACCCTATTTGAAAGCAGAACTGGATCCCCAAAAGAGAGAGAGACACACACACACACAAAGAGGGATTCTTGTCATCTCCATATGACAGCAAGCTTAAATTGTGGCAAGATAATTTCTCAAACATTGCTCACTGAGTGAAATCATTAAACTGGAAAAACATAAGAAACAAATGCCTCATCCACCAATAGGGAAAACCATAGAAAAAAGGGAATCATACCTCAATGATTCCTTTCCGAGGTGCATGAATAGCTAGACACAGGCAATAATCGCTCTTTGATGGTTCATAATAAGAGGAGCTAGCCCCTGCATTGTCCCTTTTAACTAGCATCTCCATGAAGAAACAACAAGCATCACGATATCCCTGATGGGGAAGTGATGATGTCTAGTGTTAGAGAAAAATGAACAGATAAACTACTAGCATAGAGAGATGCTGAAATTTTATTAGTGCTGAAGACAAAACCTTCCACAGCCGCACAACTACAAGTGCTTGAGTGTCTAAGAGCAATATACGACCAAGTGAATCTGTTATTGCAGCCAATGTTCCACTTGGTGACAATGTGAGCTTCTCACCTTTCCTTGGGTGATCCTTCAAACATGTCAATGGAGAAGCTGTGACATATTATAGTGATAGTATATTATTCAATTAGGGCTTTTGGAAAGAGAATACAAACATGTTTTTAGAAACTTCTCTTTAAGCATATCAGTTTTACAGCACAGGTATGGACAATTAAATAACAGTACAAACTAAATAATATCAGCTGCAAACTAATTAAATGATGAATATATAACCATGTAAATGCTTTTTCTAACGACACGCTGATTTTTCAGTATGAAGAACTTTTTGTTAACCATAAAAGACACAGGACTTTGAGCATAAATGCAATGCAAGAAATTTAGGAAAAGGAAATAAGGGTATGAAATCTGGATTTGAGGGAGACCATAATCAATAATACCAAAATGAGCATCAGAATACTTGATGCAAAATTGCATAATCCATAGAAGCAATCACAGACAACATAGATCTAGAAACATGCTAAAATCTAACAAATATTTGGAGCAATGACAAAACAAGAATAACAGATAGCATTGGAAAAATGTTCTCCTTAGGTAGTTAAAACAAACTATTTAACAGAACTTAATGTTGATTCTTGACCGAGAGAAAATGAGCTTCCAATAATAAAAAATTGCAATAATCAATTACTTGAATAGTGCAATAAATATTGAAAAGCAAAACTGAGGTCAAGAAAAGTGTAATTAAATGAACACATTATTTACAAATGTTTTTTTTTTTAACTTTATATTTCAAACATGTGGCACAAATATTACGATACAACCAAAGAAACAATTGAAATGAAAATGAGATCGAAGCAAACTAAATTCACCTTTAGCAAATGACTGAGGCTTTGCTTCTGAATTTTTGGCTGATTTCTGTTCATTCCGCCATATGATTTTGGAGAAAGAAGCTATTGTTGAGAATGTTGCAGGTACAACTTTTGACAGAATAGCTCCCACTATAGATCTGCCACGGTCTTCTGAAAGTCTTTCAACAGATTGAAACCGAACTTGGTCAACATCATTCCATGGCGAAGAAATTATGACAAAAGTGCAGCACTAGCATAAAAGAGGAATGATATAGAACAGAATCACAACACAGACCTGTAAGCTGAAATTACAGCATCTTCTCCTACAGTGACTGCACAATAGTATCGTTGACTTGACTGCCCAACAATAAAAGCAGCTGAATTGAAATACCAGAAATATGGATGAATCACCATTCCCATTACTATGTAGGAACAACAGGGGAGAACTAAGGAATATGAAACCATCAAAAGGCAAACTAAAAACTATAAGCACAATGATAATGGCTCTTGCAACAATGATGAAACAACTGTATAGAAAAAATAAACTGAAAATATAGAGAGAGTAATCCTGTTAATTTACATATATATATAGAGCATGAGCAGATGTTGTCACCTGAATTTCCATCAGTGGAGGAGGCATAATGCCAGTAATAGCTGCATCAGCGCATGACCCATATTTATTAACATTCCATAACTGGTAAGGTATTCTCTTGAACGTGTTCCCTAAAGCATCTGAATCCCTCTTAGTGGGCTTTTCATCCCAAAACTGAGAATTTGTTTCTTGAAGCCATTCTTGCAGCATATTCTATGTCAAGCACCAAAACCGATGTAAAATTGCCTTCTTTTTTTTAATAACAAAAATAAATAATGTCTCTTCTAGAAACCCAGTTGCCAATTTTACTGTAAAGCTTAATTAATTGTTATAATCGAACAAGCAGAGAGTATTAGATAGTCTCTGATCCTCTGTGATGATAACTAAAGATATCATAATATGTATGTACCTGAAAATCAGAGCCATCAAAACGTGCAATTACACCAGGAATAACAATTGAAATCTCTTCTGAAGATGATGTTTGTTGTGTCAAATCTTTCTTAGTTCCACGAACTCTTATTTTCAGAATTCGCCTAGTATACACCATCTGTACTATAAATTAAACTCAGTTAAAAATTCAAACATTAACTGAACTTTGAAAAGCTAATTAATTAACTAATTAAGTAAACTAACCTGTTTATGAATCAATTGCCCGTCCAAAGAATAAACCAATAAATACCCACAAGAAGTCCCCACAGCAATAACTCGAATTTCGTCAAAGACCAGCCACTCCAATGCGGTGATAGATTCAGACTCGATGGGAGATAAATTGGGTCGGATCTTGAGGCGGGGCCCATCGTCCCATCCGGTGATTAAGATGAGAGAACGATTTGCGAGAGCGATAGAGTGGGTGTCAAGCGCGCATAGAAGACTCGGGTTATCCACCAGCCAACCTTCCTTTCCTGCGCCAACGTCGCTCAGCTCCTCGCACGCTATGCATCCCAGCTCCGTCGTGTGATTTCGCTTAGACGACATCGTTTTTGCCTCTCGTGGCGGTTTTTCTGTTTTCTTCTTTGTTGGGTAGAGGAATTTATCTCCTGGTGACAGGCAAAATGGAACGCACCGTTTTATGGGATTTTACAATTGATTTTATCTGTATTAAAACGATACCGTTTGGGGATGTGGATCTCTATTTTTGTGTTTGTATGTCTGTCGCTCTCGCAACCGTTTCATAATGGCTCAGGATCTCTCCTTCTCTAAAGCCCTAACTCCTAATGTCTCTCTTTTCCCTCAGCGCCCCAAAACCCTAGTCCTTAAACCCCAATTACTCTTCACTCCCTCGCTTTCCCACCAAAATGCCTCTTTTCGGCGGGAAACACGGGCATTTGCCGGCCGGAGCAAGAACAAACAGGGACCTCGGATAGATTTGGACCCAGGATATCTCCGGCGAATTAGGGAAAACGCGCGTAGGAAAGCACGGAAGCTGTCAGAATCCCTCTTTTACCGGATAAAAAACCCGCATAAGATCCATGCCGATAACTTCACAGAGGAGGAGCTCAACTTAATTGGTCTTGGGTACGATCGGATGGTCCGTTTCATGGAGAAAGACGACCCAAATCTCAAACATCCATACGATTGGTACAAGTATGGTGAGTTTGGACCGTACTCATGGCGCGGAGTGGTTCTTGGGGATCCAATAGCAGGTCGTTTTACTGATGAGCGCGTTACGCTGTACAGCGAAGTTAAAGACCAGGAAGAGTGGGAGAAGATTGAACAATTTGAGATGGAGGTTGATTTTGGAGAGAAATTGAAACTATTGGACAAAAATGTCGGCCTTAGGCGTTATTGGGTGTTTGCTAGGCACCCGAAATGGGTAATAACCGAAAAACCATGGGAGCAATGGACATTAGTTAGTGAAGTTGTTTTAGAAGCTGGTAAGCAGAGGATAGATAAATGGAATTTGATGGGTCGATTAGGTAATCAAGCAAGAAAACTGATTACACAATGTGCTGCTTGGTTTAGGCCAGATATTATCTATGTTAAGAGACCAGTTTATCAATGTAGGTTTGAGCCTCAAGAGGATTTCTTTAGGGGTTTAGTGCCATTTTTGGATCCGAAAACAGAAAGAGACTTTATATTTGAGCTTAGGAATGAAGAAGATGGTGGGAGTGTAGAAATGTGTACATATTATGAAGGATTGTGTAAGATTGTAAAAGTTAGTCAAAAGGCTTATGTAGATGATGTAGTGAATGCATATGAGAAGTTGAGTGAGGAGAAGAAATCCAGGTGTTTAGAGTTCTTGCTTAGGAATCATCCAGTGCAATTGTTGCATCCCTATACTAAGGAGTGGAAGGCCAAGTTAGAGGAAATGGAGTTGGGCTGTGATGCACCTGACGATGATGAGGATCGGAATAATAATGAGACAGAGTTCACTGAGTGGGTTGAAGATGATGGTGATGGTGATGAGGATGATGTTGTTGTGGATGCAGTAGAGGGCAATGATGATGATGACGATGATGATGATGATGATGATGATGATGATGAAGAGAAGAAATACTGGGAAGAGAAGTTTAAGAAAGAAGTGAGTAGTGCAGAAGCAATGGAGAATCTAGCCAGATGGAGTGTAGAGACAACGACTGAATTGTATAAGAGGCAGTTAAAGGGAATGGAAACTCGAGGGAAAGGAAAAAATGAATTGTACAAGAAGCAGTCAAAGGGAATGGAAGCTCAAGAGAAAGAAAAGAATGAAGAAGATGGAGATGAAACTGCCTTGAGAGGTGTTAGAGCAAAAGTGAGTCCCAGAGAATGGAAGACCGTTGGTCTTGGTAAATGGCGTAAGAGAATTAAGAAGAGTAGAATTCCTCCAGAGTTTTTCTTGCGAGCAGCAGTTAGACCTTTCACTTATAGGAACCTTGTCAAGGAGATCGTTTTAACCAGGCACGCCATTTTGGATGGTGAGATTGGTAGGAAGGGATGAAGCATTGGAATGTAAATCTTGATTTTGTAGTATATGAAAATGTTCTCTTCATCTGTCATCAAAGAACAAAATTATGTAGAGAAATCTTGAAATTAGTAGTTAGTGTCGAATTCCCATACAGACTTGTGCAAGTCTTTGGGAGGTAATTTTAGTAATGTGACAAACTCTGTTTTTTCATGAGCATTTTTATTCAGAATCGAGATTCTATACAAAAACAAAGTTCATGAAATTAACGATGTTATCCAATTTCAGTGAAGTGAAATACAAGTATATCGACTTGAGCTTAATTTTCAGTAACCTCTTTTGCAGTAACTGTAATGGAGAATCAATGTGAACTATTATTTTCAAAGTTACTGAATTATCCAATAGAAATCTGGCCCTAGCCACTTGAATTCCCTTGTCCAAGCCTCCCTACAGGATAGTGGACCGTTTATGTTTGCCGGTAAACAGGGTAAACAACAAAATTTCTTTAATATACCGTAAAATAAAATCCTTGGTTCAGGCTGTTTCTGAGTTGAATTAGCTAGTGTTTGGTCTTCCTAAATGTTAAATGTAATTCCCCAATTTTTAACCAAAAATATTAGTTTAATTAAGTTTTGAAATTCAAAGACATTAAGGCTGGTCACAGCCATTTTGGCTGTGGCAATAGCAGCAGTGCAGGAATAAATGGTAAAACAAATAGAAAGTCAAGAGTATTAATGCGCTTCCTAAAACAAAAAAGCCAGAAGTATATAAGCAAAAAAATTTGGGATTGGGGCTTTATAATATATTATATATCCTGGCAATTCATATCTGAACTAATCACCTTCATTTTGATCTTAATTGTACAAATTTCAGTAGATCATTACTAGAGAGAGAGAGAGAGAGAGAGTACGAGTTAATCCACAACATATAAGCAAATCAGCAGATGTCTCAAGTTACTAATATAAAGTCTGATAATTGAATGCCCAGGGAACGAGTACAATTCTGATTTGGATCACTGTGGTAGTCACTTGCACCAGGTACTGATGACCAAAATCTTCTAAGCGCAGAAGTAATCCTCAGGGACAAAGAACTTCAGTCCAATGGCCTACAACAAAAGGGAAAAGCTTTAATTTAATGAAATGGAATCATTGGAACAAAGGGGAGGGACGAGATGGCATTTCCTAAAGGAATAATAGGAAACATCATATCCAACAAATTCAAGAACATTGAAAAGCGAACAGTACTGGAAATAAGTAAACAATACAGTTTATTCAGCAATACTTCGTTTAACTTATGATCTATCCCTCCATGTGATGACAGATATATTTCCTGCACATGCATATGTAAGAGACAGATGGAGAGAACCATGTTACCTCAATGTGAATGCCACTTTTTGAACAACATTCAGACAACAATTGGTTTACTATATATGATAGCCTGAATCATTGTTTTTGAATCATAAAAGTTTTTTCTATGGCATTATTAGTTCAAGCTGGTTCCCGATGTTATGCCTCTGAAAGGGACCCTATGGTTCTTTAATTTCTACTGGAAAAATTGAAACTCGAGTCTCCCTATCCTCCTAGAGGAAGCGAGGTGTTCTATGGGGAAAGGACTCGCTTCCTTTAGGGAAAGGGCATTTAAATAGGTAACCAATAGTTTCAGAATCATATTGGGAACAGAAACATTGATTTGTAATTGTGTGTCAATAGACAGAAAGCTCTGCAAAAGTGTGTCAATTTCTGGGCACTGGGATACAAATAAATTTAGCTCATCAGAGAACCAAATACCAGGTACAGCAGCAAATGACAACTTTTGCACCACAGTCTCGCATAAAACAAATAGATCTAACTTTACCTTTGCAAATTCTGAGTCAGCATCGCTATGATCATTGATTCTCCCTGCCGCATCCCCAACATAAAAAGATCTGCAAATTAAGACATGAAAGCCTTTATTGAACCATAATTCCTTGTCATACAGAAGTCATTACATAATTAGCAGTCAGACAAGATTATTAATGAGAATACAGAGATAAGCATAAATTAATTTCCCTTGCAATCACTAAAGCTATCACTGAATTCTATTAAAATCACTAAATATCAATTTTGCTTACAAATCACTGAACCTATTTTTTGTAACAATAAGGTTAATGGGGCCGACTTTCTGCCACATTCAATCAGGAGTATTACATCGCAACCTTCAAAACTATTCAGGAATTCTATGGGCCATTGAAATATTATTTCTCCCAGCTTTGCAGTAGAGACATGAAAAAAAAAAAATTACTAGGGTGAGAAAGAGAGTAGAGAGAATGAGAAAGGGGAAAACCTCGCATAATATTAGTTTCATTTCTTTCACCAGTAGATAGGGTATAAAGAAAAGAGGGGATTTATCAAGGGAAGGAACAGAGAGTAGAGAAAAATGCCTTGCTGGCCCACTAAGGATACAAAATATACCCAAAAAATTTTAAAATGGCTGTTGTCGAAATTTGGTCAGATGTTTGTTTCAGTGGTTCTATTGGCACAAATTTACAGATGTTCAATTCACTTACATCATTGAGATTTAATCATTTGTATAGTGACTATAGGTGAAATTTAAGCAGATAATTTCAAATAATTTCATGCATGTTGAAAGTATAGATCTCATGAGCCCAGAACATCCCAAACAGAATAATGAATAAATAAAAGAAGAAGAAAATAACTGGTCCATATCGATTGAAATGTCAGAGTTAAAATGTTTCTCCATGATCCGCCACATGCCAGGTTTGGGCTTGCGGAAGGGATCTTCTACTTTACCACTGGAATACCCACACGCTATAAAAACCTGCACACAGATATTGTAAGTCAAACATTTCAAATTTGCATATTCTATTGGAGAAAAAGCTATTTAGTTAGAAAAGGGAAGTGGGACACTATTCTGGAAGGCAAACAACTCCCACATTTACTTGGGATAACATGTACACCTGCAAATATTGTACTAACAAAGCACCTACGAGAAGAGATTTGTGGGATATTACAGATATAGAATACTAAATGAATTGCCAAATCCTCAAAAGTAGCATCAATTCTAAGGCTCATCTAATGAAGAACTCACAAGCAAGAGCTAAGGGAATTTAAGAGATTAGCTGATTTTTTCACAATGAACATAAGATATACAGGACCTAAGAGAATGTATCAGGCCATAAGCTCAGGGCTGTAAATCTTCCGAGCTTCAAAGACATTTCATCAAGTTTCCATATTCTATTCAGTAATTCAGCATCAGGAAATAAACAATCCTTTGAGATAATTCAGGAACAAGTCAAGGAATCCTAACTCAGTAAACTATACATTGGTAGACTATACAAAAGCAACCACAACAACCAAGCCTTAGTCTTGGGTAGACTGTGAAGATTCGAAAAATACACAAAAGAAAACAAAATTGAGAGCATAATTATTTTCACAATTTGATCCTATTACTTGCCTCTCAAACCTCTTTGAAGACAAAAATACAGGTGAGAGAATACCATAGCCCTTTGAATCAAAATGATGAATTAATTTATGGATTAACTTTCCAAGAGTTTGATTACTGTAAACCATTCACATTAATCTCTGTATACACTATACTAAAATTATATGTTCAGCATCACCCGCAAGAACAAAAAATGGAGTTCTACAAATATGAACTGAAAACATATTCTAATGTCAGCAGCTTGAACAACCTGCATTGGAACCTTTACACGTTTGATGAAGTTGTTGAGGCGTCCAATTTTAGAGTCCACTGCTACCTGTCTTTTCTTCTTCCAGCGATCGATGTTAGATTCATTTGTGAAGATAACCTCAAAAAAAATAAAAAATCAATGTTTACATTAAAAATATATTAATCATAAAATCAAACAGCATGATGCCAGAACCATAAAATTTCTAAAAGCAACCATGCTCGGAAGGCTAAGAAACTAACCAACTTGTATCCATCATTATATAAGCTCCGCAACTTATCAGGTACTGAGGGATACATAAGGGACCATGCATCTGCACCAACTCTGGAATAAAAAATAATATAGTTAGCTTCCCCACTTCAATTCTCAACTTGATACTGATAATGCGAAGTGCAATCATCAGATAGACGCTCGAGAGCAATAGGTTTGAAAGATTCAAACTTAGGAATTTGAACAAGTATTTGGAATAAAACAGTTAGAAGAATTGATAGCATTGTGTCAGGACAGTAACAGTACCAATTCTTTAAAATAACATGAATATATTTATATATCTGGAATATAATTATTGATTAAACATGACAGAATCACTAAATATCAGTTGCAATATAAAAAAAAAAAAAAAAAAAAAAAAAAAAAAAAAAAAAAAAAAAAACAAAGACCAAAAACGTACAAAGAAGGCGGAAAAGTTAAATGAGTTGAAAGAAAAAGAGCATTTAATTGGATTCAATAATGTCTGAGAATGAGTCATTATATGAGCAAGTTTCTTTAAGCTAGCACACCATAGGAAGGTACTTTGATGGACGATAAGGTTTAAATTGATCTCTCATTTTTTGGTATTTACTAATGGATAACTTGTTTATCCTGCAGGTGGCGCCAAAACAATCTTCACTTGAAAAACATTTAAGCAACGTAACACCATAAACACTTCCTCAAATTCACTTTGTCATTCCATGCCCAAGGTCAAACGAGACGATGACAAGCGTCAGTGACTGCATAGGAAGGATTGAGGGGGCATGGGGCATAGGACCCAACTCTCCAAAATTTTTCATTTTGTAGTGCCAAATTCACCTTCTCAAAATTCCTAAATTGTAGTTTTATTCATGTACCTGTCCTTATTTAAAAATAAAAAAATCTCAAAGATTAACTGAAATATTTAGTTCGAATGGGTGCCATCATATTAATTAAAATGATGAAATTCCTAGTGGAACCATCGATTTACTTCAACTCATACTCAAATTAAACTCTTAAATTTGTGTTTAAATAATGAAGTTTTCTCAAGAAACCAATTCTACTTGCATGACAACATATAATCACAGTCTTTATCACTCCTTACTGTAGGAGAAGCCACCCATCCTTTCTTGATTATCTCTTCAGGTCTCTTGGCAAATCCATACACATCTTTTACTCATTTCTTTTCCTTATCCTTGACCTTCTGCCTACTCTTGTTTATCCTTGAAGTTCGTTTGCTGTTTGCATAACTTCTTTCCTTGATTTCATGGTAGGCGTGTAGGAAATTTATATTTCATTCTTGAAAGAATAGTTGGTATATAATGCAAGCAGTTTGTCAGGCTCTATAGGCTAACAGCATTTAAATTGGTTTCACAATATTCTTTTCCTAAGCACTAATTTACTTAGCCATAAAATTATTACAATAAAGATTAGAATTTCTAACATCCTCGTTTTAACCATACATATACTGTAAAATATATTATACGTTTGATCAAGATTATTAAATGCAAGCTCATTGCTATTCATTGATATACAGTAATTTGGGCCCCTTTAAAAGAATATCTTTGGCTTCTGTCTGTTCAATGATACATTGTGTATCTACAAATAGAAAAAAAGATTAGACCCTACATGCCAATAAACCATTTCATATAGTATATATATATCCTTTATTGCACAAACACATAAACAAACAAATTGTTCTGTACTGAGTAACATTGTCAATGTGAACGCCATCCCATGTTAGAAGAGACCATGTATTTTTTTTATTAATTCTCTTTTCAATAATATGATAAATCATTTATAGCCATTAAGCCACTATAGAAGAGATGATAGGGAAAGAATCATTTGTTCATTAAATTTACACCTAAGTCATAAGGATGCCACTTAGGCGTTTTAATTTCAGTGACAGAATTCAGGAACCGATAAATCTTCTGTCTTTTTCTTTTTCTTCTTTTTCCCCTTTCCGTTTCGTTTAACTCAACTCAACTTCAACTTAAGCCTTTCCCAAACCAGCTAGTTGGGCCATATGGCATCTGTTTCCCAACTAGTGGTTCAATTTTCTTGATTTGTTTTCCTCAGATTCACTCCTAACATCCTATGGCAAAAAGGCCTATTGGCGTTGGTGAGGACGGAACCCAGAGGTTAGACAAAGATAGGAGAAAGAAGGAAGTTCTCTTTCCTAGTTTTTTTTTGCGTTTTGAAGCGAAGACAAACTAGTGGGGGTTTCGTTCAGTAGAACTTCTCTTTCTTGTTTGGTTTAAGAAAACCAGAGGACAGAAAAAAGTTTTACAAGCTTTAACTCATATAACACCTTTGGTCACATATAAATTGTTTGAAAATCGCGCATTTTAAATGCGTATGGTTGATATTCCATTGATATTAATGGACCGCCCGTCGCCGGGTCCACGGCTGATCCGGTTCAAGTCGCTCCACGCAGCCCAGCGGGTCCCCGGCGGTCGCGGTGCCGCGCGAAAATGTTACCATTCATTTAACAATAATTATATTTTTGTTTTAGCCTTTCCTCCCCTCAATCGTCCAATTTTTAGGATAGGAAGAGCAAGGCGTTGAACTCAAAGGCCTCTGAGGAAAAGGAGGACCCCCCCCCCCCCCCCCCCCAAACACAATTTCCCTTGATTTTCTTTTTGAATTGGATCTCTCTCTTTT